TTAGGGTCTTGGCGTTCCCTCCCAGGCTGTGTTGCATCAGTTGCGTCAATTTGCTATTCCTGTAACACGTTTTAATACATTTCGTCAATTTAATTGCAGTTGTAAAAAATAAATAAAACCATAACACGTATGAATACTGAAATCATATATAAATACTAAAATAAAATAATCTTCCGCACTGAAAATAATTTTAAACGCTGACACAACTAGTAATGCTGAAACTTGAGTATTCAAATATTTCAGTACTTCCCAATTTATTTATTCATCTAAATAAATAATTAATTTCCTAAATAAATAAATCACCTCCAGAATCAATTCGCCTCTTCCGAAAGAAATACCTGACGGTCATTATGCAAGGAACCGAAAGAAAAAGAGAAACCGGAACCACGTCCAGTGGAGAAACCGTATCTAATTAGTTCCCGGGAAGCGAGCGACTCAAGGCTGGCTTGGAGGCTCGTCAGTCGTTGTGAGGGAGGCCACACTCCTCCTCGTTCGGGTGGCCACACTTCTCCGCAGTCGTCGCGTGGCGTCTCAAGGTTTGTGTCCCCTGGTTTTTGGCCCCTTGTTTGTGGCCCCTCCGGAGGAGGAGGGGGTGTTGCGGTCGGGTTCGCGATTTTGCGTGATGTGCGCGGTTAATCGCTTCCGGATGGAAGGATCTTAAAGGACCTTGGGAATCGCTTAGCGCGTGTGTCCTTGAAACGGGAAGAGTCACCGTCGTCGTCGTCGAGGCGAACTTCCGCGATCTTTCGCGATTTTTCGCGAACTTCCGCGAGCTTAATTTTTTTCCCTCCACGAATTAGAAAATGAATTCGCTCGATTCGGCCCGTCGCCGAACGCGGTCGAAGGGACGAGGACACGCTCTCGAGACTTCAAAGGACAAAGGACAAAGGACAAAGGACTCCGGTTTGAAGGCTGCCTCGAGAGCGTGGAGGGATTTCCTGGACCGAATCGCAGGGAATTTCAGTCCCGACGGACGCAATGAATTTCAAGAGCACGCGATGCGACTGAAACTGGCGGAATTGCGACTAAAACCGCTGGCGTGCGACTACTACCGCTGGGGGCGCGACCGTGTGCGACTAAAACCGTTTCAAGCCGTAACTGTAAAAAAAAAAATAGACTGAAACAATTCAGTAAGTACGCGTTTAATGCCGGTATAAAGTGGTTCACGCGGTTTACGCGGTTTACGCGGTTCAGGATCACGTCGCACGTGGAAGGTCATTCGCTTTTGGGAATTCTAAATTAGTCTTTCTTGCGTTGAAATTCGCGGAATATTTTTTTTGCGATCAGGGAGGGGTACTCATCTGCATTAAATCCGACGTAATTCCCAAAGACCTCGCGTCGTCCCCGTCACAAAAAGTGACGAAAGTGTGACGAAAGCGACAAAGGAGTCGACTGCGGCAACCCGCTCGAGTTCCGCCATCCGGGATTTGCGCAACAGGAAGCGACACTTAGAGCGAGACTGTTGTGACACGCGCCTGAGGTTTTCCCCCGACGGAGAAACGAATGGGGGGAAAAAATTAATCGCTTCGATGAATCACCTCGGTGAATCACCTCGCCGATCGATGCGGCGGTTGCTACGATACCGTCGCAAATAACGCGCGAACGATTTTCGGAGTCGGGTCGGGTCGACCTTGCGGCGTGTCGAAAGGCGACCGAACGACTCGTAACGAGCTCACGGTTGAAGTGCGTCATAATGACGTGATTCCGCGTCGATCGAGCCGTGGAGAGAAGAAGAAGAGGGGTTGGCTGCCCTCTCGCGGCTTCATCGCTCCACCGACGAAAATTTCCCCTCGAAAGAGATCTCACTCTTCTGGAACAGTTTGGAACTTTCTCTCTCGCGCGGTGCAGGGGCGATCCCCGAGCACTCTCTCTCGGTGCGAAGTGATCCTCGTGCACTCTCTCTCGGTGCAAAGCGATCCTCGTGCACTCTCTCGTGCGTCCCTATGACATGCGTTCTCATGCCCTGGACGAGCGGATCCGTGATTCCAGAATGGGAGGACACGGAGCCGGATAGCCTCGAGACGGTGTCGACCCGAGGGATGACCGTCCACCAGGACCCGACCGCCTCCATGTCCATCCTCGACCCCTCCGCCCTCCTCCAGATGGAGCGCTGCGCCCATCGCCAGACGAAGAAGGAACTGGAGAAACTGGAACACCAGTGCGAGCGACTCCGCGTGGCGCTGGACCTCCGACGCACCGCGTCCAAGACCGCCTCCAGCGACGCCGACAGCATCCACGGTCGCTCCGAGCGGAGTCTCAACAGCCTCGAGTCGCTGAGCAGCGTCGCGAGCAGCGACGCCTCGCGGCTCATCGACGAGCTGCGACTCCGGGAGATGACCATCTCCCAGCTTCGCTCCAGGGTCCTCCACCTCGAGAAGGCGAGGATGGACAAGGTTCCCATCGACGCCAGCAGGGAGATCGCCCGACTTCAAACCGCCTTGGTGAGTCGCGACGTTTCCCGTCCGTAAAGGCCATTGCCGTAAAGGCCGTAGTCGTAAAGGTAGCCCGTTCCGAAAGTTCTCGATGCACTTTCCTCGACCTCAATTATTCAACAGCGAGAGCAAAAAAAAAAAAAAAAGGAGCGGGACCGTGTCAAACCAGAACGTGACGTACAGTCTACCATGTTCCGACTGCACTGAGAGCAAAAGGTGGATTGGCCGATCGATCATTCATCAATAAAAAAAAAAGGAGCGGGACCGTGTCCGCGATAAGGAACCGCTTTACGAGCATGTTGCTCAATTCCGGCGAGTTCCGCTCGAGATGGCCTCTCAGCGGGCCGAAATCCCGTCTCCGAGCTCTAACGATCCGAATGGGTGGGGCGGGAACTTTTCCCCGTTCGATGGAAAGGAACCAGGGCGCATCACGGTCACGGTCACTCGGTATGATGGAACGCGTCATCCGTTCGCAGGTCCAACTGGAACGCGTGAGAGACGAGCTGACCCTGCAGAACTTCACACTGAAGACGCAGCTGACGGAGATGAAGACGCGTTTGCAGAGCGATTCGCCGAAATGTCCGGACAGCGGGATCGAGGCGGACCAGCCGGAGATGGACCGGTTCAAGAAGTACGCGACGTACCGGAAGGACCCGCAGGAGGGGGCGGAGTTGAGGAATCTCAGGCTCCAGGTGACGAATCTCCGCTCCACGGAGATGGATCTCCGGTCCCGGCTCCAGGACCTCGAGGACCGGGAACGGGAGTACCGCGACCGGGAACACAAGTACCAGGAGCAACTGGGACGCCTGGACGTGGAAATGCGAAACATGAAGAACGAGGAGGGACTCGAGCACCGCGCCCTCAGGAGCATGGAACAGGAGCTGGAAAAATGCCAACGGGAGCTGGAAGGCACGAAGAGGTACCTGAACACGAAGGAAGACGAAGTGAACGCCCTGAAACTCGACTGCGACACCCTCAACGAAGAGAACAACCGCCTGAAGGAAGAACTGAACAACCTCCTCCTGAAGGAACGCGACCTCTTCGTCCGACTCCGGAGCCTCGACGACCAAGAGAAGACCATCTGCTCCCTGAAGGAGGAAAACCGACTCCTCCGCGAAGACTACAACCGCGAGCGCGTCCTCCGCAAGAAGTACTTCAACGCCATGGAGGACCTGAAGGGAAAGATCCGGGTGTACTGCCGCGTCCGACCCCCCCTCGAATCCGAGATGCGGAAGGGCGGCGGCACCGTCGTCAAATCGAGCGACGAGTTCTCCGTCTCCGTCGAGACTCCCAAGGGCGAGAGGGAGTTCTATTTCGACCGCGTCTTCCTCCCCGACGACGATCAGGCCACCGTCTTCCAAGACACTCACGTGAGATTTCGTTCCTTCTGTTTATTATTATTATTATTATTTTATTATTATTTTTATTTATTTATTTTTTTTTTCCGGTGAGAAAAGCAATTTGCAGTTCGAATTTTCCCCGAGATGAGTTTAAATTACTTGGAAAAGAAATTGTAACAAAACAACATTTCCTACCTTAATCGGTTTTCGGGTGATATACTTAATAATAAAAACGGCCATGTAAGCTTTCGCTTTTATGTAATGTACCGAATATGATTTTTCCTAGTCGGTATGCACGGGCTGTAACCAACCGAAAATATTTGCAGCTGAGATACTGTCAAAGTGCTTGAAATAAATCACAAAAAATGTAAATAATAAAAAGTACTTAGATCAAACACAACTAGTATTTTAAACATTATTTACACCTAGTTTCATATTGTTAAACAAAATAACATCTCTCGTCACTAGTCAGGACTTTTCTCCCGTAATACATGCAAAAAAGAAGTTATATTTATTAAAGAAGTTATATTTTCCCTACCACCAACGACCCTCCCTAACGACCTCCCTCCCCCCCGCAGAGCCTGGTCCAGTCGGCGATGGACGGCTACAACGTCTGCATCTGCGCCTACGGCCAGACCGGCAGCGGCAAGACATTCACCATGCTCGGCACCGAGGCCGAGCCCGGGATCGCTCCGAGGGCGTTCCAGCGGATCTTCCAGATCGCGCACGACACCAAGCATAAGTTCCACGTCAAGGTCACGGCGTACATGCTGGAGTTGTACAACGACCGGTTGTTGGATCTCCTGAGGGTGCCGCTGGGGACCGAGGTGGGCGAGAGGAGTCTCAATTTTCACTTTTGAAAAGTTGCAGATTTTTTTTCGATTGTACTGCTGATTACTGATTAGTTACATTATTTTCGTGAAGGAGAGCAGAAGTAGACGTCGTGTAATATTAACTATTTGATTGATTGAATTTGATTTAAATGGCTCGTCGACAGCTGATGTGACTTGAGGCTAACGGCACTCTATGCAAACATTTTTGAGCGACTGTAAATAGAAGATGAGCATCTTCATAACCGCAATATCCATTCTATTCCCTTTTTCTCTTTTTTCTTTTTTTATTATCTGAAATGATTCTTCGCAGGAGAAGCTGGAAGCGAAAAAGGACAAGACCGGGATGGTGTACGTGCAAGGAGCCACGATCCGCCCGGCGTACTCCGCGGCCGACCTCTGCGGGATCTTCGACGAGGGCGTGCGGAACCGGCACACGGCCACGACGCGGATGAACGTGGAGAGCTCTCGCTCCCACCTCATCATCGGGGTGCAGGTGGAGAACACGTGCCGGCTCAACGGCACGGTCTTCAGGGGGAAGGTCTGTGCTCCGGGCAATTAAAGGGAAGCGGGGCTAATGAAAGGGGGCAGTCGCCGTTTTGGTTCGCAACCCATCCGTTCACTCGCCCCGTTTTCCAGTCAGACGAATTTCTATTCAAAATTTTCGACCGCTTCCTTAATTCCCTGGCCGCAAACTGAACGCTTCCTTGTCTATTCTTTCAGCTGAGCCTCTTGGACCTGGCAGGAAGCGAACGCGTTGCAAAATCGGGCGCCTCGTCGATGCAACTACGGGAGGCAAATTGCATAAATAAGTCGTTGTCTGCTCTGGGTGACGTCATTTCTGCCCTGGCCACGGAACAGAATTTCGTTCCCTACAGGTATTTGAAAATGGCGCTATCGTGCCAGATCCAGCTTTCATTTGGGTTTTTATGCGAATCGATAGTCTTTTCATTCATTTACCTCTAAATTGATGTGTTATGGTTTTATTTATTTTTTACAACTGCAATTAAATTGACGAAATGTATTAAAACGTGTTACAGGAATAGCAAATTGACGCAACTGATGCAAGACAGCCTGGGAGGGAACGCCAAGACCCTAATGATCGTCAACGTTTCCCCTGCTGCCTACAACGCCGAAGAAACGCTCATCTCTCTCATGTGAGACTTTTTCTCGTATTTTTTTAATTTTTACTGCCATCTCGGGTCCGGAACTGCCATTAGGGACAAAAGCGGAACGGGCGCAACGATCTTCCGGTGGAACTCTGTTGTTTGCCGAGGGGAAATGCTCCGGAGCAATGACAGAGGTCATAAATACTGCCCGTCTGGATGAGCAAGGCCGATTCCCACCTCGCTGCCGCGAGGGTTCATCCGCATGTTCAGACGTGTGAAGCGTGAACCCTCGACGGCAGTGCCTTCACGCGATGGGAATCCACCCGAGGTCTGTCCCTGTCTTCCGAGATGGGGGAGATGGATGGGCTGCGTTCCGCGAGGGTCGCACGATTGCCTTTTGAGTTTGACGCGCGTCGCGATGATCGATCTGACCCTTCGAGGACTCGAGGGACAGTCGGTGATAGAACATGGCCAAAAATCAATAGCCTTAATTTTTGTATGAGGGGGGGAGGGGGTTACGGTCCACTGGTGAAAAGGGAATGGGGTTAGCAGGTGGGTGGGTGGAGGGAGAGAATTAGTAATTGTTATTGTTTCGGTGAATTCTTTTTTCGATGTCTCATCGCTTGTCAGCAGAAGTGGCGTCGCCTGTCGTAGGTTCGCCATGACTGTCATTTGTTCTTGCATATGTCTTTGATAGACAGAGTTTTCTCATTCCCAGGTATTCCTCCCGAGTGAAACTGATCACCAACAGTGCCAGCAAATACGTCGACAGCAGAGAAGTTGCTCGACTCAAATCTGTAAGCACTTTAAAGACGTCCTATTCCAGGAAAATTTTCGTTAATATTTTCAATATTTATTATGTACTTACTAAATTATTCATTATTATTCTAATATTTATTTTTATATAAAATAATTATTTTAAATATTTATTTTAATTTACAGATAATCGCCAAGTTGCGTCGAGGCGAAGACAGCGGAGTGGAAGACGAAGTCTGACCCACAGCCCGTCTATCTCACGTCTTTCTCGAATCTCTCCTTCTGTGATAATTCCATGCTTGAGTGCATTCATGCTTGATTGAATCTCCTCTTTATATATAAAGAGACACGAATCTCCGGGTACATCTCATGCCATGCCGCGAAAAAAAAAGGCAAACGGCCCGAATGAAAAGTCCTCTCTGAAAACGAAACCAGGAAGCTTTCTCAAATCAAACGAAAACAAATGAAAGTATTGCCTCTAGTACTTTCACCAATCCTTCATTTCCCTCATACCCCGACGAAATCTTTTTTTTTTATTGATGAATGATCGATCGGCCAATCCACCTTTTGCTCTCAGTGCAGTCGGAACATGGTAGACTGTACGTCACGTTCTGGTTCTGACAGGCTGCTTATCTCGTATTCTGATGGGCTGTATGTCATGCAAGGAGTGATCAAAAGGAAACGGGACTGACTCTGTAACGACTTGATTCCCCGACGTACGTTCCCTGAAATGCCAAATCTGGCGGCGATTGGGTATTGGGTCGTGAGAGTACGTGAGCAAAAACAGTCGATAAAAAAATTAAGAGAAAAAGGGGAGAAAAAAAGAAAACCAATTTTACCCATGTATCCCATAGATCCAATGCAAGACCTCCGCTTGAATTGGCACGTGGGCACCAGGAAATAAAAGTTATAGAACCATTCTCGTTCCCTTCCAGATCCCACCCAGCTTTCACGTACTGATAGGCTGCAAGTCATACTCAGCATCGCAGACAGAACTTGAGACAGCCCTGCAATGCTGACGTGACGACTTTCTCCCATGCGAATGGATTACAGCATTTCCATTAGCCATTCCACTTAGTCAATACCACCCTTCTGAAGTGTTAGAATCACCATAGAAAAAAAAAATAGCTGAGAAAACACCTTTCGAAAATGTCGCGCGTTTACTGATGAAAAAACAATATTTGTAAATTTATTTTAAATGGGTGTAAAATAAGATTGTGTAAATTTCAGAGCACTCCTAGAAAATATTATTCCAATCATGCCAGGTGGTCACGTTCTAATTCTACTGACGATTCCAAAATGAGAATTCGCTTGCAGCTAGTCCAAAACTGAGTCGATCATTTCACGGTCATGGTTTAATCTTTGGTCGCAGTAGCAGTGGACTGAAACTACGGCTGGACCGTGAAGGAACCGATATTTTGCAATTTCCTTCGCGGTCGGACTGCCGTTGGATGTTGCTTTTCCGCTCGATTCCAGTCGGGCTGTTCGTTGACGCTAGCTTTGCTCAACGAGCGTGAGATGCGACTGAACTGAAACGGACAGAATTCGAGATCGATTTATTTCTATAATTTTTTTTTTCGGAGATCGATTTCACTTTCACGGCAGAGGGAAAAGGTGTGGCGAGGGACACTTTCTGTAGAGAGGCGCGGACTTGGAAAAAAAAAAAGTCATCTTCAAAGCGCATTGGTGCATGTCTGTGCCTTCAATTGCACTTGGATTGTATTACATGGTCAGAATGTCGGAGAAGGTTCGAAAGTACGACCAACTCATTGTAGTTTCACATGTTTGTTCCAGCTTTGCTGGGTAAACCGATTCGTTCCATATTCATCGATATTCTACTTGCAATCGAATTTTCGTTTTATATTCAGTTGATGTTTGGGATTTTTAATAAGTTCTACATTTTAATATTTCTTGCAAACGATTTCCAGCGTTTCTGAAGAATTCCTAACCTTTAAATTTTGAACGAATTTTTTTTGTTAGCTTCTGGAAGCAAAATCGGATCACGCAATCGTCTTCATGCATCGCTGAAAATTCACAATCGCTGAAAGGCACGAACGGTGTCTTGCTCACACTATTTGAGGGCAAGGCCTTTGTGTGATGCAATCTGGACCTCCAGTCATGAGTATGTCTGGAACACAAGACAGCCGTAAACTCGGTGAAGAGAATCAAACCCACTTGAGAAGGGTGCCCACAATCATTAGCACCTTAAAAATGTCTCATTCCAGTATTCACATTTCACAAATATCATGTCGCTGCCTTGTCACAAAGTTGTAATGAGTACGGGACTTAAGTAACTCTGAATTTTCTGTACATTTCATCGGCATTTCAGTTTCCGTCGCTAATGTTGCGAACGTAGATGAGAGAGGAAGCTAGACGTGAAAAATCCTTCGGTTCAAAACAAAGTATGATCCGTGAAGGATCCCAAAAGCAAGGAAACAAGGCAAAGTCATATGTTTTAAGAACTTCGGAGCGAGGCATCGAAAACCAGACTGGATCGTGCCGTTGAAGTGATTAGTGATGTTTGAGTGGCAAACGATGAGTGCCAATATGGAAGCATGATAATTTTTGTCTTTCTGTGCGGATTTTTGGAACGGTCGATTAAAGCCCCAGGTAAACCACCATAGTTCTCTTTCTATTAAGTCAGGTATTGCTGCGAAAACTGCATGGAGAGCTCCAGAGAGCTCAGTCACGTGGAATGCCACAGATGCTAGTTGTCTATCTTGTCGGTGACGGAGAAAGTGAGAGATTTACACTCAGTAATATGATCCGAGTAAATTAATGAATATGAAATGCGTTGAATGATGATCTGATCACGATTTCCTTCAAGAACTTTCAAGACAGCAGACAGATCTATCGAATTACGTCTCGCAGTTTACCCCCCGTGGACCTTGTTCAAATAAGGCAACAGGTTTTTTTAAAATAATTATTACAAGAAGTGGGCAGGCGGGCAACCTGAGAGCCATCGATCGATTTCTGGGGAGAATATTCCCTGGCTCTCAGCCTGCGTAAAGGTGTCACGATCTACGAAAATTGTTAGTTCGATTTTGCCATCAGTAGCGAATGTCGCAATAAAGATAGAGTGATTCTCTCTTTCACTGCAGGATATCTATCAGCAGTGCCGGATAAACGCACGAGTACACAGGCCCGGGCCCAAGGCCCCGCAATGAAAGGGGACCTGGGTGGGGACGAAACCAGTAATAAAAATCAACAAGAGAGGAGTGGCTGGAGCGTGCATGACTAAGGCACTAAAATTCCTGTTCACCACCCTTCTTCTCTGGAAGAGTTTGGGAGTAGGACTAAATCAGCCGCATACCTGGCGAGCACATAGGCTTAGAGCCTGCAGCTGTCCTGACTGCACCCTCCTTGCCCCGAGTTCGCTATATACCACCCCCGCTTGTCGTGATTCTGGAGGCCATATCCCTCCGAAGGCGGGGGATGGAGAGAGGTGGGCCTGACATGCATTGCTCAGGGCCCCCAGTAAAAAATAATCCGGCCGTGCTTTTAAGGCACGATTATGAGGCACTATTGTGCTTTCTGATGGGATATTTCAAAATAGGATAGAGTATTTTATACTCACACATTGCAACACACATGGCTCTAGGAGAACCACACGGACGAAAATAATTGTTTCATTTAGCAAGAAATAAATTCAAGCGGAAATTTATGAAATCTCAGAATCTGTTGCAGATGCAGTCTGCAACATGAATGACCCTTTTTGGCCCACTGTACTGGTCTCGAGCTATCCAACCCTAAAAAAAAAAAAAAAACATGCGCAATTTACAAAAGTACGTCATGACGAAAATAGCCCATTCCGATCCCATAAAAACAGGAAGGTCAGATGGGATAGAACTGGTGAGCATGCAAACCAGGAATGTCGTAATTTATCATTTTTCTTTTAGTGAGCCCCCTCAGGGTAAAATGAAAAAGAAAACCTGCGTGCCCACGTGTCGCCACTTAACAAGTATTGCCATCATCGATGTGAGAATTAATACGCGGACACTATGGGAAAGACAGAGACTGAAATTCGTTTATATAAGTGTGCTCCAAAAGCAGATTTTTATTAGGAATGTCACATTTACATTGGCATCGGGTGGTTGGATTGAGCGTCGGGCGAGAGAAGGTGGATGCCAGAATGGATGTCTGCCGCTGATGTTGGGATAGATGCCTGTCGTTGATATTGAGAGAGGCATGCTACTGTTTCCCCTGGCCCTGCGCACTATCGGGCATTCCACTTTTCCTCCATCGCCCCCATGCCTCCTCGTCCTCCTTCATTATTGATTGACAGTAGCAAGCATCTATCTCAATATCAGCAGCGGGCATCCATTCTGGCATCTACCTTCTCTCGGGCGAGAGAAGCCAGACTTTTCCTTCATCGCACCCATGCCATCTAACTCCTCCCTCTTTAATGATTAATAATGAAGTTTCGGCAGTAAATTTGCACGTCATAGTTCATTTTATTTGTTATATGGCTGTGGAGGTTCAACCATGCAAGGAAACAGTTTTATCTCTCGCTTGACTTCTTTTTTCAGGCTAAAATAAAAATAATAACTGAAAGGAGAATTTATGGGCGTGCTATGGGAGGTACGGCTGCGTCCACAGGAGAATTCTCGAGCATGAGGGTTAGGCGGTTCAGCAAAAGAAAACATCCAGCAAAAAATGAATGGTAATTCCTATATTGACATTTCAGAATGTTATCAAGTTTTGTTCAATAAGGCGATAAGATGAAGCTCCCCGGGTGCCTCCTCAGTGAAAAAAGGCCAGCTACCAGTGGGCTTTCCTAGCTTGATGTCCTGTGATAAAACTGACTGGGACGAGACTGAATCAAAGTTGAAGTCCTGTCCTGGCTCGCTCGGTGCTGCTCATAACGTCTGCATCATACTTTCGCATGGCAGACGGAATGAGATTGAATGGCAACGTGGCGATACGACTCAATGAATGAGCTTCACTGATTGCTATATGACTTTATTATAAGACCATCCTTAATTAATGAGTATTAGAGATGGTTATCGAATGCCCTGTAATTCATGGAGACCAGAGGCAGAATGTGGGGATTAGAACAGGTTAAAAGAGGCATTAATCAAAAATCACCTGAGACCGCATGCCAGGTGTTTCGCCGGTCCCTATTACATTTTATGACCATCTGTGACTAGCAGCATTCACTAAGTACAATAATTGCCCGTTTAATTATTCGGGCATTTCGTTGCCAAACAATAAAAAGTAATGGCAAATGCGTGGAACAGCGCAGCAACTATGCAGGAAGGACCTTGTGCCTTGGGTTCGGCCTTGAATTTCTAATATTCGGCTTTCCTTACCCGGATGCATTCAACCGTGATGGTGCGATCCGATCCGAGTTGTCCCAAGTTCGGTCAAACTTTTTTTTTGGGACCGAAGTGGGCCCGCACTCTAGAATCTGAGGCTCTGCCGAATCCCAGCATG